TACTGGAGGGGAGGGGGGGGGGAGAAGCTGGGATCTAAAACTAAAAAAAAAAAAATGTTGGAGTCCCCCTTTAAGGCTTAAACGAGATTTTAGCGATTAGATGTAATTTGCAATATATCTGCGGAGAAGTTAGAATGTTTTATTGTCGCTTTCACATTACCTTGCCAGTAACTCACCATCACTTTATCCTCATCCACCGCGGTTCTGATGAAACTGTCCAGAAATTGTCTGTCGCAGACCGGCTGAGGAGTAACAAGCTTCACATTAACCAGCAACATTTGTAGCAGGATAAGTAAACCTGAAAGACAGAACGCACACCGCGCATGAGTTCCCTTCCAGCTGGGATCGCTCCCTATCTCTAACAACAGGACAACGATGGTTCTACGCAAATGTAAAAAGAAGAAATATCCCGCCAAATCCAATTCACAAACCTCTTATCAATTCATACCACACATAGGGTTGTCACCGGTCCAGGACTCACCCGGACAGTCCGCGTTTTGAATGCTCTGTCCGGGTTTCATGGCAGCTGAAACCTTCACATTTGAATGGGTGGGGCTATTTACATATGAATAAGTCGCGACTCATTCTCCCCCCAAAAAATGTCAGCGCGTCGCTAGAGTGTTCGGGTTTCACTTGAAGAAAAAGGTGGCAACCCTAGCCACGCAAGATACAATACATTATTTTCCATGGTGGACCGAAGAAAGGACACCCCCCCTCCCCCCCACCCCAACGTGTCACAAAGACCAAACCAGGAATTGCTTACAACGAGGGAAGGGGCTGGAGAAAGGACTTCCCCCGAGGTGTCATATAATTCATAAAGATGAACCCAGGAATAATCCACTGCCATCAATAGGGGGAGGGGCTTGCCTCAAAGTGTTACATTCTAAGAAATGTTTCCCGAAATGTGTTGGAACTTCTTGCACAGCCTCACCGAGAAACACAAGCACACAGTCTGATCTGCACGCTGCACAGGAAGGAAGCCGCAGCTTTATTCTCTACCTTATACAATACAACAGAGTATCTACCATAGATATATAACAGGGCTTATAAACACTGCCATCTAGTGGCCGAAATTGTATACTGCAGGAGTTGTTGCTATAAACACAGTAATGTGTATTGTAACAAAATATTTTCACCCTCCTCTACACCAGGCCTTAAAGGTTCTCCACTCGTGACCCCTTGTTGGCCGAGGAAATTTTTAAGGGACCCCAACGTCGATCGGTGTCTCCCCCCTCCCCTAGCGTAAGTCGGTGTCTCTCCCCCCACATTAAACTAAAAATAAACAATCTAGCTCGGAGCCCAGACCTCCTCGGCTGTCTGGGCCCCTCACACAAGTAACGGCCATACCCCCCCTGATGGCGGTCTCGGTCTTGGCCGGGGACTCGGATCGCGACCCCCCTGTTCACTTGCGGGACCCCATATGGGGTCGCGACCCACACTTTAAGAAGCACTGCTCTACACCATACCGTGGGTTATAACGCGCATTAGCACAATGCACATGGATGCACGGTAGGTGTGATGTGCGCTGGTTTGTAGTTACTGTAAAATCACTGTGTTGCCAAGCAGGCCCCACTATCTACAAGTTGCCTGCAGAAAACTACAGGAGGGGGCGGAGACTAGACCATTCACCTTGCACAAGGAGGGAAAGCAGCAGTGAGTGGTCTTTATTACAGGGGGGGTGGAGACAAGACCAGTCACCCGGCACAAGGAGAGAGGGCAGAAGTCATCGGTCTTTATTACAGGAGGGGGCGGAGACAAGACCAGTCACCCTGCACAAGGAGAGAAAGCAGCAGTGAGTGGTTTTTATTACAGGAGGGGGGCGGAGACAAGACCAGTCACCCGGCCCAAGGAGAGAGAGCAGCAGTGAGCGGTTTTTATTACAGGAGGGGGCGGAGACAAGACCAGTCATCCTGCACAAGGAGAGAGAGCAGCAGTGAGCGGTTTTTATTACAGGAGGGGGCGGAGACAAGACCAGTCATCCTGCACAAGGAGAGAGAGCAGCAGTGAGCGGTTTTTATTACAGGAGGGGGCGGAGACAAGACCAGTCATCCTGCACAAGGAGAGAGAGCAGCAGTGAGCGGTTTTTATTACAGGAGGGGGCGGAGACAAGACCAGTCATCCTGCACAAGGAGAGAGAGCAGCAGTGAGCGGTTTTTATTACAGGAGGGGGCGGAGACAAGACCAGTCACCCTGCACAAGGAGGGAGAGCAGCAGTGACCGGTCTTTATTATAGGAAGCTCCGGGTCTCACGCTGGATTACAGTACAGATGTGGAAGATATACACATGACTCTTGTATGAGGACAATGTCTGCTGATCCCGGAGATGAGCTGTAAGGTGCCGCTCCTTCAAAATCAACACTGAGCCTTCAAACACACATGGGGAGCCCAGCCAGCCAACCAGCCAGCCAGCCCAGGGCTTCAGGTTTCCATCCAGACGTTGCCTTCTGCCTCAGACCCACCACACTGTCCGTTAGACATAGTCTTCTGATTCAACTCTTGTATGTATTCCATACAGTGGGTGTGTATTCTGATACACACACACGCACACACGCACACACACACACACACACACACACACACAGCTTATGGAAGCAGATACATCCACCCCACATCTGAGAGTCTCTCTGGATTCTGGCAGCAGCAGCAAATGAAGGTGAGTTTCCTGTCTACATGCACTTCAGCGATGGCTGCCGGGCTTTTCTTACGGTAGAGCTACGCCTGCGTAAGGCGCGTTGGCACAGCCACTTGTAGTTGACACCAGCCAGGGAAACATGTGAGAGGGTGACAATGCAGGAGCACAATTGGTGAAACTGAGACGGAGTGTTGTCACCCTAGGACAGGAAGTGCCCAAACAAGGACCCTTGTGGCAGGATCACCGGGGAATAATCATAATGAAAGCTGAAGATTGAAAAGGTTTTTATCTGAGATATCGGTAACTGGGTCACATATTCTGAATCCAAACCAGCGCCGAGCTTATAGAGCCGCGTGCCATACAGATGGAGGAAAGGATCATGTGTCGCTTTACAGACTGTATGACCTAAAGCCACATAAAGAGTACAACGTTGTCACATGATAGAACAGCAAGATGTTCCCCTCGTGGGACTCACCGACAACGCTCCTGCAGCTTCCCCGACGCACTCCAACTGGCATCCAGCAACAATAAATCCAGCAGCAGCGGGGTCGTCAGCAGCAAGTCAAGCAGCAGAACCCTCAGGCTGAGCCTGTGGACACGGATAGGGCCAGTCGGCACACCAGCGGCATTCTGTATGAGGGACCATACAATGTCTAGGCTTTCACGCAGCTTCTCTTGGCCTATAACTCCAGAATCATTTCTTTGTAACCTTCAGTCTGTCTACAATGAAGATCTGAGCCTAGCAGATGCTGTGTCCAATATTGATCTGATATTGGATCGTTTATCAGTAACTTATCATTGGGCAGCTAAGAGCCTAAGATTTAGAATGGAGGCAAAATGAGCGGACTTTCTGACATCAGCGCAGTAAGGTCCTTTTTGGGACATCAGTTTAAGACGCTTCTGAGATCATTCAGAATTCACAGACAGGTGCATCTGACCTGCAGTTGACTCTCTTCTGACCTGCAGTTGACCTTCTGACCTGCAGTTGACCTCCTGACCTGCAGTTGACTCTCTTCTGACCTTCAGTCGACCTCCTGACCTTCAGTTGACCTGCTGGCCTGCACTTGAGCTTCTTCTGATCTGCAGTTGACCTCCTGACCTGCAGTTGACTCTCTTCTGACCTTCAGTCGGCCTCCTGACCTTCAGTTGACCTCCTGACCTGCACTTGAGCTTCTTCTGCAGATCTGCAGTTGACCTCCCTTTAACCTGCAGTTGACCTCCCTTTAACCTGCAGTTGGCCTCCTGCTGACCTGCAGTCAAGCTTCTTCAGACGTTCAGTTGACCTCCTTCTGGCGTACAGTTGATCTCCTTCTAATTTGCAGTTGACCTACTTCTGACCTGCAGTTGATCTTCTGACCATCAGTTTACCTTCTTCCGACCCACAATTTACCTCCTTCTGACCTGAATTTGTCCGGCTTTAAGTATGTTTCATACTACCATAGACTTTTATGGGTATACAAAACCAGTTTTTTTAAAGGAGAACTATGGGGTTAAGGCTTTTCCCCATAGTTCTCCTTAGGGTAACGGGAGGACACAAACTAGCGTCCTCCCGTCACCCTAGGCTCAGTATATAGGGAGCTACAGCTGTATACTGAGACGCCGCAGCTGAAGCGGATCCCAACAATTGTGCCGGGATCCGCCCAAGCAGCACGCACATTAGGACTATTATTTTTCTTATCCGTGTGTACAAAGGAATTTAAGGGATTTGTTTTAGAGTTGATTTAAAAAAAACTGATACGTATACAGCTTCAAGGGGTGAAAAATACAGTTATTTATTAAACCCACCCAATCATGTTTTCATACGAGGAGTGATTACCCAGCGCAGAATCTCGAAGCTTATCTGGGCCGTCTTGTGAATCAGTCTGGACTCTACACGGATCTGGTGGTCTATTGTTGCCAATTGACAACCACGTCATACATTGAATTGTCCCGCATACATGTGCACATAGGGTCAATACAGTGGATCATACAGTACATATGACATACAAACTCGCGCACGCACATGAGCTTTTTATTTGGAATCACAAAACTCGGCCGGGGAGGTGTCAATCATAAAGTCAGGGCAGTTTCTCCAGTTTCCACCAGGAAATGTATCAATACGGGATCAACATATGGTGAAGAATAAAGCAAAGACCGTACCGTACTGGGAAAAGTTCCTTCTCCAGCCTTCCTCAACTGAAAATCATCAATTATTCCCAATTAAAACAAGCCTCGGAGTGCACCTGCGCCCACATTGCAGACATTACATACACTTACAAAGCCGTCCACAACTCCGCCCCCGGCTATATCTCCAACCTGGTCTCAAAGTATCACCCTAACCGTCCCCTCCGCTCTTCCCAAGACCTCCTGCTTTCCAGCTCCCTTGTCAACTCCTCCCATACTCGCCTGCAGGACTTCTGTAGAGTCTCTCCTATCCTCCGGAACTCTTTACCCCAACCTGCCCGTCTATCTCCCACCTTGACTGCCTTTAGGTGATCCCGTAAGACTCACCTCTTCAGGGAAGCCGATCCCACCTCAACCTGACCGCTCATCCATCACGTTCTCAAACAATTCATCCCCCACACAGCTCCCTCCTCATGTATCACTAGCCCCTCCCTTTTAGATTGTAAGCCCTTAGGGGCGGGGCCCTCTTTACCATCTGGTCTTACATTGTATTGTGATTGTAATGTCTCCCTTATATTGTAAAGCGCTGCGCAAACTGTTGGCGCTCTATAAATCCTGTATTATAATAATAATTACATAGTTTACATATTCTCTTTCTTATTGGTCAATGTAGTTACCAATAAGGATAGATTGTCTGAAACAATTGTATAAATCGGTTTCCACGGACACATGGCGGGGGCCAACGCGAGCCCTCAGTGCAGCTTAATAACAGTGAGTCTGATAAAATGACAGGCTCACCATTACTGAGCTCCCTGCCCGGTCACTGCACCTGTCACATGGCCAAGGGTGGGCGAAGCCTGATGGAGGACTATGAGAGACTAGTTCCCCATCAGGTCCGCTTCCCTCATGACTGACAGCAGATGGCAGCGGGCAGATTCCTTAGTTACCAAGTGTTGTTTTTTTTTTGGCAGGCTGGTAATAACTAAAGATGAGTCTGGGCTCGGTACGAACCCAGTTCACCTTGTGTTGGCCCGGGCCCGCTCAAAACTGTGACCGCCACTTCAAAATTGGAGAAAATTTCCAAAATTGGACCGAACAAAGTAAAAAAAAAAAGTAATTTGCTTTCGATTCTGAAATCAGATCCCACGAGGCAGATGGTGTGGAGCCTTGGTTCTCAACTGGTGGGTCGTGACCCCGTCTTCAGTGGGTCACTGCGTGCCTTCCACTTTTCCAGGTAAGGGGCTCCTCAGCCTCTTCCTAGCGCAGCACTGTCAGTTTTCACGCTGAGCAGCCATTCAAAATATGCCGCCCGGTGCCGAGTGTCCGCTTGAGGTGAGGTGGGGGTATGGCCTTGAGGGAGCTCCATCCATACCTGCATTGCTTACAGCTCCCTCGCATGTCCTGTAGAGGCGCCTGGACCGGAGTGATGTCGCATTCTGGCTCCCGGCACCTCTACAGGTGTAATGCGCCTGGTTCTAGGACAGGGGAATGGATCACAGCTGCGGACTCGGTACGATGATTTAAGGCTGGGTATGGCAATCAGGCTTGAACCCCAGGCGTCTCTCTCAATCTTAACGGAGAGTGAGGGGTTCTTGCATCATTTGCCACAATTGAGGTAAAGAGGTTTAGACCATGTATTGGTTATTTAACTCATAACCAAACGGATCCGTGTACACAGAGTTAGATTCAATGCATAGGTAACAGTCTTAATCCAGATAATGACATAGGCACAAGTGGTATCAGGATTTAAACAAGCAAGCCAGTATTTGCTACAAACAGTATTGGATCCTTTGCCAGAGGGTATTGATTGTGAGACAGTTCTAATAAGCCAAGTACCAATTCCCCCTCTAGTTACAATACTTGCGGTTGCAGACAGGTGTGAGGTATACTGAGGTCCAGAGAATGGGAGGTCCGTGAGGCTCTTAGCATGTGCAGGGCATCAAGCACAATAGTGAACGCTTCCATAGCGTTCACAGGACCTTTTATATAGTCCGCGAACCCGGAAGTGATACGGCCGTGACGTCACTTCCGCGTTCCCCGTTGGAGAGCAGGGAAGCTCCCCCTCCGAGCGGAAAGCGGCCTGCGTGACGCGGCCGATGCGTTCCACGCTGGAACGCATCCGGCTCGCGGCAGGCAAGGACATTACAACAGGGCACGCAAGGGAGCTGTACCAGCAATGCACATAGGGAGGGAGCTCCATCCCAGCACAGCAGCCCGCACTGGACCCCCGCCTGAGGGTCCCCTCCAGTTCTCGTAAATTAGGGAGACTGGGTGGATCTTTAAAAAAAGAAATACATTTTTTTTGGAGTGTGTGTGTGTGAGAACGTGTGTGTGATTGTGTCTGCGGCTGCGTGTGTCTGTCAGTGTTTTTTAGGGCCCGTTCACACCAGTACATTGCGTTAATCGCACAGTCCCGTGCGATTAATGCATTGCACCAGGCCATCGCACCTACCGTGCGTTCTGCTGTGGGAGATGCGCTGCGTTGCCATTCATTTGAACGGTACCCCACATGCACCTCCCGCTCACATTGTTCGATCGCCCGCACCGGGACGCGCGGTACCGCAATGCCGCGCATACCATTGGAGTCCGACTTGGGTTCGCGACTTAATGACCGAGGTCAAATGTGGGCCCTGAGGTTACACAGGTTGAGAACCGCTGATGTAGAGGGATTCCAGGAAACCTTTAGAGTGTTCCCCACCATGGTGTTTGCTTCGCCGTCAATGTTGAGTCTCAATAATTCTTAGAAAGCTTGGGAGTCCAGAGGTACCTGAAGGAAGATAAGACGAAGCTCGGTGAACTCTGCTTGCCTATGAACTGAGGTTCTCTTTCTTGCTGATGAAATGTAAAAGGGTTCAATGCCCTTCTTTTTCCCTGACACTCAGTGATCAGTCCACCCAATATGCAGGGATTGAAGGAAAAGTGAAATGCGTGGGCCTGATTAATAACAGCGGAGACCAAGCTGAATCTGAGAATGAAGCGGAGCTCAGTCTCTACTCCTGGCAATATTCTGCCCACTTTGCATCCCTAATGATCACTAATAAATGGTTTATTTTTTTAATCATTATTGACAAAAGATGTGCAATTACCAGTTGCGGACACTAGGGGGTCTGTTCATAACCAATTGGCAGAGCCATTAGCCCTACGAATCTTTCCAAACGTTCTGTGCGACTAGATGTGAAAAAACGACGTTATGGAATATTCTTTCTTTTCAAGTCGAATGCATTCGATGTAATACTACATTTTAGCCACTAGTTGGAGCTGAGGAGCATAGAAAATGAGTACAGCGGTAAACATGAACTCCCTCCTTAGGAGAACTATGAGGGGGGGGGCTTTTCACTCACCTCATAGTTCTAGCCGACCTGTGACAATGAGACTGTCACAGGTCGGCTCAGTAGATTGGGAAGTGAGTGAACACATACTGGCGTTCACTCACCTCTCGATCCTGCCACAGCTCTCTGCCGTGACAGGGGAGGGGCTGGATTCCCCCCTCCCCTGTCCGATCCTCCAGCGCTGACTGGGGGAACGGGAGGGGGCGGGTACAGCTGGCTCCGCCTTTAGATAGGCAGAGCCAGCTGTCAGTCACGCAGCTGGGCGGATCCCGGCATAATTGCCGGGATCCGTTTCAGCTGCGGCGTCTCAGTATGCCGCGAGCTGTAGCTCCCTATATACTGAGCCTAGGGTGACGGGAGGACGCTAGTTTGTGTCCTCCAGTTACCCTAAGGAGAACTATGAGGAAAAGCCCTGACCCCATAGTTCTCCTTTAAAGAAAAATTACCGAAATTTAAAAAAAAAAAAAACTGTTTCCCCTATATTAAATGATAAAACATTTATTATTACCCAGCTTTTTGGGTAAAATATAAAAGACGGGGTCACGTCGGGTAAAAAGACACCAAACATGTCAAGCCGTAAAATCGCACGTGCGCGCGAAACCTAAAAAAAACTACAATACCCAAAATTGACCATAGGCGACGCTTTATAAGCTTTTACCGCTCATCAGTTTAGTGTTATTAGTGATTGATGGCCCTAAAATGATTGCTCACACTGCGACGTTCGCAACGATATGTAACATGTGTAGCGCAATTGTCACCGGACGCATATTTACGTTTATATGTGCGTAAACGTGGGGGTGGGAGACTTAAAAATTTGGGTTTAAAAAAAAACAAAAAACTTTTTTATATGTGACTTTTATTTATTTTTTACACTTAATGTTATTGCTATCACATAGGATAACAATCCCCCTATATATTAGCAAAGGCACACTGACAGGTCCTCTTTATGGAGACATCAGGGGTCTCTAAGACCCTTAATGTCACCTGGGGACCCAAAAGAAGCTGATGAAGCAGAGATCTGCTTTATCAGCTTCTTCTCTCTGCTATAGCAGCCAGATGACTGACAGGTGAATGCGGAAGTGATGTAATACACATCACTTCCGCATTCACAGCCCGGACGGAGATCAGCAAGGATTAAGATGCTGATCTCCCTCCCATCTTACCTCCTGGCGCCCTCTAGAGCCGGTCCCAGGCCACAGATGGGGCAGCGGATCCCGGGATTGAAAGTGAGGGGCGCGCAAAGACAGCACATACATACGATCGGCAGGCTATAGAGCCGCCGATCGTATTTGTATATCAAACAGCCGGTAAGGGCTGTAAAGAACGGACGTGTTTTTTCTGCCCGGGCGCGCGCAAGCAGACAAAAAAACCCGCCAATGTGAGTCTGCCATCCGTCCGTTTTTTTTTCACAACGGGGCGAATGGCAAGAGGTTAACCTCTTGCCGTCCGCCCGTAGTAGAAAAACGGACGGACGGCACTGCTGCATTGGCGGGGGGGGGGGGGCGGGGGGGCGTTC